TCCAAGCTGGGTCTACTTGCAGAGTGTTCACACTTCCACTGCTCCCAAAGCCTCTCCCTAGGTGGTTTCAGAACGAATCTCCAGCGTCTCCCCGGCAGGGTGGCCCAGAGAGCACATGTGCACTTTATAATTATTGGCCCAGAGGTAGAAAAGCAGCTACTGCAGATCTGGAATGAATGGTCATCCCTGGAAATGGCAGTGTTTTTATAAAGCAAAGACTGCTTCCATTTCATGAACTGAGGAATACATTTTCCATTTATAGTCCTTCAAAATTAAATTTGCAAAAGGGGAAAAGGAAGTGATCAAATATTAAATTTCTCCAACGGGAAATTCATATACTTATATATGAATTCCACCAATGGTATCAGGTCATCATTAACACAAAAAGAGAGGAAAAAATGTGGTATTTGGCATTTTCCCCCCAGAAAAAAACTCAAAATTGTCTTTATAGGAAAAATCAGAACTTTGGAGGACTCCTTTTATGGGTTAAATTTTTGTCTTTGCATTAAATATGGGTTAGAGAATGAAGGGGAAGAACCAAAATCCTTTCAATGTTTATGACTTCTAAAATGATACAGAGCTGTATACACATTTATCATTTGCTTCCTAATGGTTTTGCATTTCATTTTAAGTTTCGAATTTCAAGTTTTGTCAGAATCTCTTTGCTTCTTAGAAAATTGGTTTTGACTTGATTAGCCTTCCCAAGTAAAACTGTAAAATCGAATGTAATATAGAAGCGTGATACTTATATACAAATTACATTTTTACATCATATTATCTCTATTAATTCTGAGGCACTTAACAGAACATGACACATTTTACAAAATGATTTAGTGTTGTTTGGTAACACAGGAAGCGAAGCACGGAGGGGAGCTTCAGCTCTCTGTCGTGGCTGGTAGCGAGACCCTGAATACACTCACCCGGACCCAAACAGAAGCTCATCTCAGCAGCAGTCTGTTTCTTCTTTTTTGAGCATAGTTTGAAATATATACACTGAAAACAGTATCAATTTTTATGTAGCTATGGTGGGGGCGGGGAGAGGGGTCAGCATATCGTGTTAGCGATTTTCCGTGGAATCACATTAGAGTTTCACAGGGGCAGCCATATCACATTAAAATCTGGGGGGTTTTTTGCTAAATGGTTTCCATTGTGTATTTAGTGAATCTGATATGGAGAATTGCTAATGCAATAAGAGTATCATATAAGCTTTCCTGACTGTAATGCTCAGCCACTGAATTCAGGAGAAGAGGCTCAACAGGACTTCAGGGGTTTCAGGGCTAATTCTCCACAGCCTCTTAACAAAGTCCTAGCTCAAGGTCAACACAGGCTTCTTGAAAGACGGAACGAATGCTAACACCGACTGCATGGGGGCCACTCCTTTACAGATTTTTATTTCAGAAACAAACATGGGTTCAGTGAACGACGTGTCACTTAATATTTATCGGCTGAGCACCATGCTGGCCACTGTGGTTCGTATTAAGGGAATGAAAAAGATGGGTGAAATTATGGTCCTTTCCTTCACAGCTCTTGAAAACACTGACTGAAGAAAAGAAATGAATTAGCACGAGTAACTTAATACAAGATGCGCTGCGGCAACGGTGGAAAACGCAAAGCGCCGCGGGAGCTCAAAGGAGGACACACCCGAGACCAGGGTCATTAGAAAGTTCTGTGGAGGCAGCACCTATACAGGGCCACAGAGATGGGGAAGATGCAGACAGGTCTGAGGAGCAGGTGACAGGCTGGGAACCCGGGGACGGCATTCTAGGCCTTCGCGTGAGTAAGAACGATGCAGGGAACAGGAGAGCCACGACATGCGTGGGGAATTACAACCCATTATTTCAATGACAGCATAAAATATGGAAGGAGAAGGAAGATAAGCCGGGAGAAGTAGTCTGGGGTCAGCCAGAGGCTGCCACCAAAGGAGAGAAGTACACGGTGTTCAGGATGGTTCGGGGTGGAAGCGTCAGGATGAAGTACACTAGCACAATTAATACCCAGCTTTCACGGGTGTGATGGCTTCTAATGCTAACAGCTCTGTTGAAGTCTTAACAACTTTAGTTAGCACACGTTTCTTAAGAGACACTATTTATAGGAATATTTATTTTAAAAGGTTAGTTCATTGCCAAGGGGTAATTGTTTATTTTTTTTGTTATGTGACGACTCACGACACGGACATTCACTAGGTTAATAGAAAAAAAAACCTATAAAGCATGCTCATACTGTTGCAACTACTTATAAATTTGCTGTTTGCTTTTTTTTTTTTTTTTTTGCTTTAGATAACTTTTCAACTCACTAGCAACAGTAACCAAGGAAATATAAATCCAACAGCCTAGAATTACAACTATTTGAAGAGATTCATGCTTTGAACATACTGCTGTCTTTTTTCTTTTATTCTGGACACTTCCCTGTTTCTAAATTCCTCTCCAAATGTTAGAAACAGTAAACAAAATCTGCACCAAGCTTTGTTAGAGGCTTAAAATTTAATTCGTATGCTTTGAGAAATGAAAAAGGTCTTCATTTTCCACACCCTTTACCTTACCTTAAATCAGAGTACACTCTGTGGATAAGTATTATTTCTGAAATAATAAAATAGAATATGATGAAATTACTACTTTATTTATTGCAAAAGGAATGTAAGATATAAACCAGTTAGCCGCCTAAGTACTACAGTGACCGCTCATGAAACATCAGCTCTCCAATATGGCAAAGGAAATTGTACTCTCATTAATCACAATTAAACTACTTGTAACACTGAAATTGAATATTTTAGTCTTTATGAAATAATTTCTTGACAGATTTTTTTTTCCCCTCCGACTGACCACAGGGACAGAAAGCATAAACAAATTTGCCAGTTGTTTATTACTTATAGATATCCTTGGCAATGTTTCATTAAAAAAAAAGTCAACAAAACTCTTCTTTCTTATTCCATGTCTTGGGCAATCAGGGATGCAGTAGTTGACATCTGTGAACATTCTCTGATTAGCCATTAACTGAGGATACAGAAGGAAAAGAAAAATATTTTAAAGGAGAAAAGTCAAATCACTCATGCTGACTTTAAGATACTGATGACAGAGACGTGAGGACTGTAAAGTACTTAGAGGTTTCACCTAAAATTTGTTTATTCCTTTGATCCCTAGTAAACACTGTACTGATAAAAATGAGTTTGCTCAGATCAAGAGTATGTTGGCATTCTCTGAAACCTAGCTTAAAACCAGAGCTGAAGCATAAAACAACTCTGACAAAGAGAGCCGGTGAAGCATAAAAATGGGAATTGGTTGGGTCAGAAGGCACTAAGAGGCCGAGGCTGTCTGCTAAGACTTGCCCTGCCATCAATGAAGGCAATTATTATAGCTAAAAGTTACTTTTCTGGTATTTCATTTTAAATTTCTCTCGTCTTTAAAAATGCTCCTTACTTATAAACTATTACATCATTTTCTTATCTGCAGTGTCCTTCTTGGATAACCACGAACTTGAAAGCAGTCCAAAATCTTGTTCAGGGTTTCCTACAAGCATAAAAAGACTCAGTATTGAACACGGAGTTAGGGAATGTGTCCGGGTTTCACTTTTACTTCCTTTTTAAATATAGATCGCTATTTTTAAAATATAAACATCCCATGGCATTCCCTCACACCAACAGGACTCCTAAGGCGGAAGATATGTTGGTAGTATGAACATTTCGCTCACTCTGAAGGATGCCCCAAAGCTCTGCCCGCTGATGGCCAAGCAGACGGAATTATTAAATGCCTTACGACTTTACAATTCTCTTCTTCTTATTCCTGCTAAACCACACTTTCAAAAGAGCAGCCCAGAAATCTGGCAAACCACTGAAACGGCACTTGTAAATTGGATCCATTAAAAGCAATCCACAGTGTCCTGTGGGGGTGCATCCGACTGTTAATTACCGGGTAAATAATTTACATGCAATCGTATTCCAAAACTAGATTTCCATCATTTGTAGGCTATTTCTCAGGAGTACCACTTCCTACCCGGAAACAAGTCCACGGAGTACTTCTAAATTATCATTTGAAATTTCCACTGTCAAGGGTGGGACGACGAAAGAACAGTAACGGGAAGGCTTGTCAGCGATCAGCCATCCATAAAACTGTTTTCCCCGCGCTCCTCCTTCCGATCACAACGCTGGCGTCAGTTAGTCTCCGGTATCTGTTCCCCACCTCGCCCCCTCCCTTCTGCGGAGAGCTGGCACCGAATGGCAGGCGGAGGAAAAGACAAACATCCCAGCTCCCAGCACGATCCGAGCGCTAGCCCGGAGACGCTTCAACAACATTCCTAACTTTTTTCCACCCCCCTTCCCTCTTCGCGTGCCCCAAAGGTAAGCAGAGTAAAAATCCTAGGAGCCAGGAGGCCAGCGAGGCCAGCTGAGTCGCAGTTACTACCCCCACCCCGATTTCTCCACTGCCACCCCCCACCCCACCCCACCCCACCCCCCATTTTCGGTCACAACAAACAGTTACTCAGCTCTGAGTCTGGGTCTCCACGGCGCCAGTCCTCGGTGCTCGGCCCCCGCGCGGCGCCCAGCGCAGGGGGCCGGGGGGCGAGCGCGCGCCCCCGCCCGCGCCCTGGGCCGCAGCCCCGCACGGCCGGCGCCCCCAAAGCGGGACCAGCCAGCATCCTCCCGCGGGCCCCAGGTGTCGCCGGCCGGCGGCTGGGGCGACGCGGAGGGCGCGCCGCCAACTCCCCGGAGCGGTCCCCTCCGGCCCCACCCCACCCCACCCCGGCTCCACCAAGAAATACGGAGACGGAGAGTACAAAGGACCGAGCCACACACCCAACGGCCTCGAAGGCTCCCCTCGGGGAAGAACAACTTAGCCGCAAACGCACGTACACGCGCGCTCGCCCAGCGCGCGCGCCGGGGAGGGCATCTCTTACCTGTTCCCCACGAAGTCACTCATCCCTCCCCCACCCCTGGGCCGGCTGCCCCCACCCCCCCGCGCCCCCCGCCGTGGGTCCCCGGCCGCCCGCTCCAAGCGCCGCGCACTCACAGGCTGGCTGCGCGCGCCCAGGGCTGCAGGGCCCGGCGGCGGCGGCGGCGGCGGCGGCGGCGGCGGGGACCGAGACAGCGGCTGCAGCGGCGGCGGCGGCGGCGGCCCCAGCCGGCGTCAGTCAGACTGGAGCCGCGAAGCCTCATCGCCCGTATTAGTGCGCCGACCTGGAAAGCGGCCAGGAGCCCTGCGCACGGGTCCGCCCCCGCCCGCCGCCGCGCGCCCTGGCCGCTCCGGGAGCCCGCGAGGCGGGGGGAGCGCGGCCCGCCCCGCGGCCACGTGCGCGGAAGCTCGCGGCGGGGGCGCCTCCGTGCGGCCCCGCGCTGCTCCCTGGCCCTCCTTTTGGGTCCCCAGGCTCGCCTCCGTGCGCTGACGCGCCGCGGTGGGGAGGCTCCGGTCACCCCGGGTCACCTCGCATCTTTCTTTCTCCCGCCGCTCCTGAGGTTTCATGGGGCCGCTTCAGGTCAAGGAGGCTTGTTACCAGAAGAAGAGATACAGGACCAAGAAATCGGTTTGGATCCCCTCTCCCCACCAGCCACACTTTCTGACACGTTCCTGGGCCCTGATGGTTAGGGTTAGGGTTAGGGTTAGGGTTACTTGCTGTTCCTTCCTTACTAGCTTTTCAGATTGAAGGGATCCGTACACCCCTCGACAGCCCCAGAGCAATGGGTTTGCACTGGCCTGGGCAGCAGAAAATCTAATCAGTGTGAGTGGTGAGTGGTGGCAAAAACTAGTCAGGTAATTATGTGCATTGTCTTTTATGTATTTATTTGCTTAACATCCTAGCATATAATATATAGTATTATCTAATCTAATAAAGGTATAAGCTTATGGGCACTGAGCAGCGTTAATGTACAGCCTTCTTGCCTTACGGCCTGGCTGCGCCCCCCCCCCCCCCCCCCCCCCCCCGTAGTCTGCTTCTTGAGGTCACTGTGAACTACTAGAATCCATGTACGCTCAGAATGCATTTAGGAAATGCCACCAACATACTCGTGGTCTTTGATTTCCTGTCACCCAGTACCTCTTCATGACCTGAAGGCATTCACCTGTAGGGGACAGTATTCATTTTGCTTTGTAGAGAAAAATCAGTGTTCCTCAAAGGCCCTGATACCCATGAAATGTAAACTCAAGGCTCTGAATTCTTGACTACTTTTTCCAGTTCTCAAAGCACTGCATTTTCTTTCCCTGGCAGATGCCAGTTTTGCATTATCATGTTGTGGTGGAGCAATGACCTTGTTTCAAACAGCATGTGTCGTTGAACCTCAAACTCGAATTTCGGTCCTCTTTCTACACCTGGGCCATTTACATCTACCTCCGCTCCAGGCTGAGTGTTCGGTTTGGAAATGTTGTGGGGGTGAGACCCTAGGAGACATCTGGACTGCTAAAAGCTACACAGTGCCCTTGATGTGCACTTGACCGCCAGGAAACCAAGTCCTCAGAGTTAACACCTTGTGGCTCATATTGTCTGTTTGTTTTCTTTTGTTTTCCATGTTACTGAGAAAAGAAATAGCTCCGACACTGTTTCAGTTTCCGCAGGTGCATTAGACAATGCAGAGGACACAATGCAGAGCAAGAAATTATAACCTCTGCAGTGCTGGCTCATGCTTCTGGCGCGGAGTCTTTTCAAGTTCATGGAACTCTCTTGGCTGTTGGCAGCACTTGGATTTACAGAAACTTTGAGTGTGTGTCGTCTTCTTCTGTACATTATCATTTACATACCAGGAAATCTTGACACCTAAAAGCTAGACTGACTCACTTACACAACTATCATTTATTCCTGAAACCTAGTATAGAAAGTTAATCCATTCTGTACAAGAGCAATAAAATCTGGTGAGTTCCAGAGAGGTCCAGGATATCTGGAGAGGTCCAGGATAGAAGGCTCAGTGTTGACACTCCATTTTTCAGAAGCTGACTGTCCTTGTAATAGGAAGTCGAGACTCTGCTGGATTTTTTCCTCCTGATTTCTTGATTGACTGGAATTTTAGGCTTGTTGGAACTGCCAGCAAAAAAAACCTATCCAATGGGAATCTTATGAGGGAGGAGACTCAGTCACAGGTTGTGATTTGGTGGAACCTCCAATAAAGTTTCGGTTCAAGGCCTGAAAACTGTAGTGAACCAAGCTCCTCCTTCTCTGAATTGCAAGGACTTGGTGCAAGATGAGCTCCCACAGCCTATGGAACAGTGACAGGTGGAGAAGCCCCTTTTCTCTTGTAAGATGCTCAGCATAGGACGTGGTGGGGACAAAGGCTGTAGTAATCCATAGATACTGAGATTCTACTTTGTGCATCTGCTATACCTGATGTTTGATCTACATTATAATGGTTCTACTCAGAGCCACTTCTGGTTTCATACATTTCATCTGTAATTCTGTCCTGACTCTGCACTTTTTCTGACTCCTTCTTGAACTTTTCTTCCAGAGCTATCATTCAGTCCATAACCAGTATTAAACGCTTTCCTAAGCATAGGTGCCCAGACTAATCATGTGGACACAGAGCACCGGTCCTGAGGAAACGAAGTTCCACTAGGAAAGACATAGATCAATGATGATCATACAATTTTTTGTGTCACTTAGGAGGTGAGGGCACAAAGACGCGTGTCAGGGAGTCTCCACAGAAGCACCTGGAAAAGTGAGTATGAATGCCCACTACCTCGTGGCCAAAGCACCCCCGGCCCCACACCTACAGTCTGGGTAAATGCTGCTCTGTGGGTGCTGGCTTTCCAGAAGAGTGCAGCTGCGCTTTAGCCCCCGCGGCTACGCGCTCTGATGCAGGCACGCACCGCAAAGGCAGCCCAGAATGCCTACTATGTGCAGAACACTTGAACTTTTAGGTATGAAAACCTCAATGTTCCTAAGAGAACTGTCAAACTAGTTGGATAAATAAGAAAAATGATGTTACAAGTGTTCTGTCTGGGGTTGCAACAAGAGAGTCACAGAGCATCTTGATTTGGTGAAGTGACAGCTTTCTCCTCTTGTGCCAGTCTCTGCCCGGACCAGGTTAGGCTTTATGCACATCATCTTGTTTCATCCTCATGGCATCTCAGGATGAGAATTATTATCCTATTTTGCAGCTGAGGAACCTGAGGCATAATCGACTGTCTCCCAAGTATCTGTCTCCCTGACTCCAAAGTCCAGACATATAACCACTACACCTCACTGTCTTTCTGGAACTTGAAGTTGAACTGAAAAGTGTTTGAGCAGATGTGATACGGGCACAGCTTAACAGTAGAATTAATTGTTGGGCCGGCTGAGAGGTAGGGCAGAGACGCCACAGAATGGCAGACTTCTTAAGATGGCTGACCTTCCCGCCACTACATCGGTGACCATTACGATATCGGCGGGAAACAGAAATTTAAACCTTCCAATCCTGGACTTTCCAGTCAAGAGACCGCCCCTGTTATCTGAACTTCCCCCACCCCCACTAACAGGTTATAAAATCCCTCACCACCCAACCTGGGCGCGATTTCCCCGACTCCCCTCTCTGGAGTCGCAGAACCTTGCCCGAGGATGGATACAATAAAACTCCTTCTGCGGAACAGTTTGCCTTGGAGTCTTTTTTTTACTCACCTGAAAAACCTTACATTAATCAAGTTCATCCATCCATGCATTCAAATTGTTGTTTAGTAACCTGTTGCTAGGTGAAACTATTTTTTAAAACATCTCAACCATTAAGGGTACAGTTCAATACTGTACACATTGTTTAGTATATTCACATTGTTGTACAACAGATCTTTAGAGCTTTTTCGTTTTGCAGAATTGATGATCCACAGCCATTAAACATTAATGCCCCTGTTCAGTCTCCCCCCAGCACCTGGCAACCACTTTTCCACCTTCTGTATCTATGGTTTTGACTATTTCACATCCTTTGTATGAGTGATGGTATGTTGTATTTGTCTTTCTGTGACTGGCTTGTTTCACTTGGCATAATGTCCTTGAGGTTCATCCCTGTTGTAGGATAGGATTTCCTTCTTTTTTAAGGCATCATAATATTCCACTGTATGTATATAGCACATCTTCTTTACCCCGTTCATCAGTCAGTGGACATTTGGGTTACTTCCACCCCTTGGTTAATGTGAATAATGCTGCAGTGAAGATGGGTGTGAAATTACCTCTTTGAGATCCTGCTTTGAATTCTTTTGGGTGAATACCCAGAAGTAGGATGGCTGGACCATATGGTAATTCTATTTAAAAATTTTTGAGGGAATCTCCATATTGTTTTTTATATGGTTACACATTTAGCATTCCCACCAACAATACACAAGGGTTCCAATTTCTCAGTATCCTTGCCGACACGCATTACTTTCTTTTCATTTAGTAGTGGCCATCCTAATGAGAATGAGGTGACATCTTGTGTGGTTTTGATTTGTCTTGCTCCTAATGTCAGTAACGTTGAATATCTGTTCATATGCTTACTAGCCATTGGTATAGCTTCTTTGGAGAATTGTTTATTCAAGTCTTGCCCATTGTTTAATAGGGCTATTTGGGTTTTTTTTGTTGCTGGGTTGAGTTCCTCATGTATTCTAAATACTAATCCTTTATCAGATAAGTGATTTGCAAATATTTTCTCCCCTTCTGTAGGTCGCCTTTGCACTCTTTTGATTATTTTTGATGAACAGAAATTTTTAAGTTTGATATAGTCCATTTGTCTATTTTGCTTTTGTTGTCTTTACTTTCGCTGTCCATTTGTTCACTGCTAGTATAAATTGATAACTATCTGTTTATCTTGTATCTTATGACCTTGCTGAACTCACTTATTAGTTCTAGGATGCTTTTTTTTTAATATTCTCTGGAATTTCTTTAATGTAAACAATCGTGTCATCTACAAATATAGACAGTTTTATTTCTTACTTTTTAATCTATATTCACTTTATTCCTTTTTCTTGCCTCATTGCATTGATTAGAGCTTTCATCATCCCTATATTCAGTAAGAGTGGTGAGAATGGGTATCATTGCAGTGGTCCTGACCTTAGAGCAAAGCTTCCTGGCCTTTGAGCAAAGCATTCATTATTTTCACTATTAAATATAATGTTATCTGTAG